GGTTCGCGTGCGTTGCGTTCGGTTCCTGCTGCTCCTTTTTCTCAGAGGGAAGCGTTTACACTCCAGAGCAGAAGGGGGCGCTACTGCTCGCTGCTTTTTTCTAGTCTTTTTTTTTAACTTGTCATGAATAAAACCCATGTCCCTGTTGACATAATTTAAATTATTTTTTCTATGACTTATGTTGGAAAATGACTTGGAATGTCGAGTCGAATATTTGACCAAATTTTATTTTGAATGGTGGAAAATTCGTATGTTTAGGCCGTTGTAAGCTGTGTTCTGCTGTACGTTTCTATAACCTGAGTTTCCAGTATAACTAATGTCTTTAACTCTGCCCCGAGCCGATCATTTTTGTTTTTTGATCCGTCAGACTGCCAAAGTGGAAGAGGATTATATAGCTAAAGTTATTATAGTTAAAAAAATTCTCAAAACTGGACTTTCAGTCAAAAGGGGAAGTTATTAACAACAAAAAAGGGAGAGAGAGAGAATGGGAAGAACGCTTATGAGATACTATATAACCAGCAGCCAATTGAATTAGCTCCCCTTTTAGGTTTCTATTAGGGATGTGACGGTTTCTGAAAACCGTCTGAACGGTTCGGTTGGACTGTCTCGGTTCGGTTTGCGTGTGTTGCGTTCGGTTCCTGCTGTTCCTTTTTCTCAGAGGGAAGCGTTTACACTCCAGAGCAGAAGGGGGCGCTACTGCGCCCAAAGCCAACCACCAGTAGGAAACAAGAAGAAGAAGCAAAGCAGCGTAGCCGATAAAAATCAGACGCGCCAGCAGCAGTTTCTAGGTCTGCTGTATGGACCAGTTTGCATTTAGAGGGAAGCACATGTTGGAATTAGCACAGTTTCCTCTCTATTAATGCCAGAATCTCACCTACATGTTCATGTTCATGCATTTGGCAGACGCTTTTATCCAAAGCGACTTACAGGGTAGGGAGGAGCTGTATTGGCCGGGAATTGAACCCAGGTCAACTGCTTGGAAGGCAGCTATGCTAACCACTACACCACCACTCCTTTAAAAAAAACCTACTTTAACCTCAGACTGTCACCAAATGGCAGACTGCATCAAATGGCAGACTGCTTTTTTATTTCAGTTTTAACCTGACTATAGAAGACATAATAGATTTTCCTAACAATCAACATATACCGAACCGAACCGAAAACCGTGACCACGAAACCGTGAATCGAACCGAACCGTGGATTTTGTGAACCGTCCCACCCCTACTAAGACTGTCACAATAATGTATAAAATGGCAGACTGCTTTTTTCTTTCAGTTTAACCTGACTATACAAGACATAATAGATTTTAAGTCATAGAGCTGATCAGGTTTAAACCCCCCCCCCCCCCCCCCCTCAGACACGTGTCCTTCGTGGACTGCCCCGGTCACGACATCCTGATGGCCACCATGCTGAACGGAGCCGCCGTGATGGACGCCGCGCTGCTGCTCATCGGTGAGGGGGGGGGGGGGGGTTTAACGGCACTGACCGACACGGTACAGCTTTAAAAGGACTTGCTCCTCTGTTATTGGTCCAATTATTTATTTCCTGAATCAGGATGGAGATTTATTTCCTGAATCAGGATGGAGGACGACTTGAGTAGTACTGGATGGTTATTTATTTATTTATCTAAGCCATCAGTGCTTTTTGTCACGGCTTACCGCCGGAATTCAAAGAGCAGTGATGGAGGGAGCTAAAAAAAAGATTTACAGCGCAAAGTCAGAAGTAACGACATGTCTATTAAGTTCACAGAACTGGTGGGAAAGTCTGAAATATTATATAAGTTTATGAGAGTAGAATGTGACGGTGCTAGCACCATGTACGCGGCTCGTAAGTCTAAACACTAATTGACTGCTACGTCAAGTAGCAGTAGTCTGATACATCTGCCAGTTGTTTGCTCCAGTTTTCTCGAATTTCTTTTTCTGTTTTGATGAGTTCAGTTGTTGAAAGCTCCCCCTCTCTACGCGCCACTCTGGTCTTCTAAACAGATACTCAAACAAAAACTCCTGCTAGCCATTAAGACCAAGAATTTTGGTTTTGTGTAGAGGTTCAACAACAAAAAAAAAAAAAAGTTTAAAAAAAAAGGAAAAAAATACATGTTTACTGTTGTGTAATATTTACCTAGCTCCATTATTGTAGATTTTTTTTCATCCCTTTGTAATACAACGGAGCATCAAACAGAATGAAATTATCTGAATGGTGACATTTTTCTGTGTAAATAGCTTTTTAAAACTAGGCTACAAAAAGGCCAGGTGAAAGACCAAATAAATAAAATGATTTTTTGATAAACCAAAGAAGTCCATTTAAAGCTCAGGGGTCAGAGGTTCCTCCTCTTTCTTCTGGTGGGGTTAGAGCCCCCCCCCTCCCCCTCCTCCTGCTCCTGGGGGGGGTTGTTTCTCTCCCTAACCACCGTTTCCCCCCCCCTCCAGCGGGTAACGAGTCGTGCCCCCAGCCGCAGACGTCGGAGCACCTGGCGGCCATCGAGATCATGAAGCTGAAGCACATCCTGATCCTGCAGAACAAGATCGACCTGGTGAAGGAGAGCCAGGCCAAGGAGCAGTACGAGCAGATCCTGGCCTTCGTGCAGGGCGAGTTTAACTTCATTTATTTATTTATCTGAATAGGGACAAAGCACATTTATTTATTTATTTATTT